GGAAAAAGTCACTTCCCATATTTCGTTAAGTTAATTCAAGTTTTGGTTTCTTCAAATGTCTGATTACAGACGACGCCTTTTGAAATGCGCGCGTTATAGGGTTCCTCGTGAAAGAATAGTACAAGCAATTATCCTGAACATCAGTGTACTTAAATAGTCTTCTTTAACCGCGTATTCAGTTGCTCAGATTACACAGTAAATTTAAAAAGTGAAATATAGTTTTAGTGGCCTTCTTTAACCCTTTTAAGTCAAAGCTCAAGTAAAATGTATTAATTCAGTCCTTACCGCAAAGAAAGCACAACACACCACCATTACCAAGATCAACTGGTTAATGCTGTTTAAGGATATAATCCCTGTTTGCAGTGAGAATCATGAAACAGAGTACTAAACAACTGATCTTTGTAATGAAGAAGCTTCACTATTTTTGTAAGTTGGTAACTGAATTCTTAAATATTATTTAGGTGGATTTCGAGCTTCAAAAGGTTTTATAATTAATAATGATAGGGTACCGAAGATATACGTTACTTTTCAGCTGTTTCGAATTCGGACTTTCCCCCAGCGTACTGAAAAGTTTGTTCATCCCTGATCTCAGCATTCAGTGTAGCCTTGCATTCGGCTGTCGACTTCATGCTCGTCATTAATGCAAATTCAGCCAGCACCCAATACATTACCACAGAGATCAAGACGGGGCCTTGACTGTTGTTGATCGATTCGTAATGACGCTTTATCAACTGTGCAGGTTATATAACGTCGACGGATACGGTTTATGAATAATGCATTGACATGGAAACTAAGGGAAGCAGGCAACAACCTAATAAGACACTATAACATTATATTCCGAAGGAAATCAGTAACATCGTCAAACTCTGAATCGAAGTAATTGATCTCTGGGCACAATACAGGATTCTTTAAAAGAATGTAGTACGTCTCGTGAAAAACATACAAACATACGCAATAAAACTGCAACGAGCTTAAAAAATGTGTACACCATATATTTTTTCTAATCTGGAATTTTGGTATTAATATTTAGTGTTGTAAACAGAACCTTTCAGAAAAATTGGGCAGTGTGCATCAGCACTTTGACAAGAAGCCCTAACTATATTTAATTTATGACATATTTTGAGTATACAGTGAGAAAGCCTAAAAATATCTCAGATAAATTTTATATCCGAAGACGAAAATAATACCGTGCACTTTCAAGTTTTCCAGGTAACGGCCAGCAAATACAGAAACTAAAACTCTCTGCTTGTTTTAACAATGATTTACTACTCTGTGGTTCTGCGGTCTCCAGTTGTTACGAAACTTCTACACCAACTTCATGGTAACTACGCCAAAAATTGCACATGCTTCTGGATTGATTTTCTTGTCTTTCCTTCTTTCATGTATCATATCTCTCTCTTTCTCTACCTTCCACCTCGTTTTCTTCCATCCTCTCCCCCTATTCACAATTTGGATTTTGGTTCAAGTTCAAATCACACAAAATAAACACAGGTACTTTTGTCTTTTCAATGTTGTTCTTCTGAAGATATAGGCAGTATTTTCCTCCAAAACGCTGGTTATCTAACTACAAGACCAAAGGCATTATATAGCCCAAAAGACTACCACCGACATCTTCACCGCAGTGAGAACTTCAAATCTCATACATTTTATCACATTTCATTCGAGGCGTCGAAGGGAAGTTTGCAAACTACGACACATCAAATTATTTTAACTCAGAGAATGAAATCCAGTAAGATTTCATTAAGATCGCCCTCGAAGAAAAGTACATTTCTGCGAAAAGAATATGTTCCTAAGCAAATAAAAAGACGCTTTATCAACTTCATACGTTACACAGCGTCGAATAAGAAGGATGAATTAAGAAGAACGTGAAAAGAGTGACAGTGGTATCTTTTAAGACACTAAAAAATAATGTGCCGGGAGGGACTGACAAAATCTATGAAAAGACTTCTGCCATAACGACTGATCTGAGTAGGATTGGAGGTTCTCGTGGTGGTCTTCTGCGTTGTAGCGCCGAGTAGTCTAGTACAAGTTTACCAACGTTTCATAGGCCTTTACTGCCTCCCTCATCAAGGCGATCACCCTGATTATCCACATCGTATACCTCAACATAGGTAGTCTCTGGAACAACTCTCGAACCCGAGACATTTCGAGCAAGAATCAGCAGTGCTCCCAACTTTACCGAGATTTTCTTGGCAGCTGTAGTAGTCATTCAACAAATATCTCACACAAAATTAATATACAAAGTACTGTTAAATTTTTAGTCATGGCCGCTGAAACAGGCCTACGGTAGGAGAATGGGATTGCGCAGCGGCAGCTGTGCATTGTCTGTGCGAAGAAATAATCGATAACCACAAAAGTGACACACAATTCACGAACTTTACTGACTAACCGTCATAGCCACTTCATTCCAACGATGGTGCTGTGAAAGGAATCGAATGCACTGCGTATTCGGTTAACAACAGCCAAGGCTAAAAGCCAGGACTGTATTTCGTTTCACTTTTGTTAGCTATCACAAAGTTGTCTCAAGCATACAGCTGGTAGCTATTACACAACAAACCTTGGCAGTAGCATTGAGATGCTGATTAGCTTGGCCATGACCGCATGCAAGCTCCATACGCGTTTAGTAATAAACAACAGTACTTTATAGTGCAGAGAGTGCGGAGAAGAAGGGACCAACTCCAAAGGACGTTCCGACTGCGCTACAGACAGCTCAGTCCATGTTTATTGCTAGTCAGTCTATAAACGTTTGCGATATAAAAAAAGGGACCGCTTAATTATTGTGATAACACGAGTTAGACAGGGGTAGCTGCTACTCTCAGTAAATATAATGTTTTACGTAACAGTGCTAAATACTGCTTTTCTTAAACCCCACTGCTGGTAAACATCATTTAATATGCAATATTCATATGCAGCACGATAGGATGACAGGATATAGGCTTAGTTTTATTATTATAATCACTGCCGACATTATATTATTATTATTATAATAATATAAAGAGGATATTAAATAACAAGGAGT